AAGAGGCATAGTCTGTGGGGGGAAGTAATAATTTTTATTAGACGAAGTCACATTGGTGAGAAAAACAAACAAGATTTCAGGTACAGATCTCTCCTTGAGATGACCTGAAAGCCTGTCAAAGCTTTTCAAGACAAATCTGTTATTTCAGGGAAGGTTGTTGCTTCTTTCTTCAAGTCTGTGTCTCCTCTATCTAACTTTATAGATTATATGTTAGCGGATGTGTCAGTTGGCAAACCATAAGGCATTAGTTTAGATAGCAGCAGACACCTATTCTTTTATCCAGTTCATGCTGCTGAACACTGCAGTAAATATTATTACTAGAATTTTCAGAAATCTGCACAATAGAAAAAAAACAAAGATATAACCCTGTAAGTTAAGGTTCTTTCTTGTTAAAGATCAGAGAAAGCTGACTGGTGTCTTACACCCTTTTCACACTTGCATATTCCACTGCCTGACAGGACAAAATGACCAAGAGGCATTGAAAGCACCATCCTGGAAAAAGCCATTCCAGCAAATTGCCTCTTTCACATTGTTTTGTATATATGTGTTTTTACTATCCACAGTTATATTTTAAGCTATTATTTGATAAACTTTTACATTTGTTTCACAGCAACATTAAATATAATAGCACTTTCACACAAATGGCATCAATCATCTGCTTCGCTTGATTAATCTAACTAGCCTGGTAAGTGCTCTAGCAAAAGTCCCAGAATTAAAACAATCCCAGAACTTCATCTACACACTTTCAATTTAATAAGCAATCACAGCTTTATTCCCCAGTGTGCTCAGAGCTACATTACCCTATCTAAGTAAAAAGCTGATCATTACATGTGTAATCTCATTCCCAACTCATTTACTTATGCCAGTAGCAAACCTAATTCAGGCTCCTCAGGAGGCTTGACTCTCCTGCTCCCACTGCTACGCTGCTATCAGACTTGACACAGGCAAGAGGCTTTTCTGCCTTCAATTAGCTAGACAGAAATGTTTGGTGGTCAAACCTGTTTTCTCCTTAAAGCTTATGTAAAGCTATAGGAATATACTCTCCCAGAGTAATATTCTTGTAAGGCTGTAAGCACAAACAGAGCAATAATAATGATGTTACCAGTGTGATAGGGGAAACCATTCAGTGCAGTGTACGAAGGAATTAATTCTGAACTGGGACGCTGCTTCACACTCTACAATAAATTAGTGCTGACTACATTTTGTAAAAGATGTCATATTACGCTCACAAGACTAAACTCAGAGAAAGTATGTTAGCTACCACATGCCTTAAATGTTGATAGGCTTTGACTGCTCAACAATATGGATGTTTAATCAGATCTCCCAAGCTTTGAGACTTAAACAGAATGCATTATTAGGCAGGTATGTTAACACAAGCTAAAGCTCTTCCCAGGAGTGCTTGCATTGAAACTACACTGAGAACAGGTTTCTTTTATGTTTACAAGCTTCCTTGTACCCCTTTTGGAATAAACTCAAATAAAATACTGGGTAGGACAGATAAATGAGTGGCACATACAGCAGAGGAGAAGATAATAAGCATTCCCCAGCCTGAGGCTGCCACTAGCAGCAATAGAAGTTGGCACAGGCTGTTATGAACCAGCAGGGATAATAATTGGATGGATGAAGCAGTGATGTGGCAAATTCTGACCTTTAGAGATCTCTTTCCAGGTGAATCTGTGCCAACCTAGAGAGAAAGACTCTAGAGTTATTTGGTCAAAATGACAAAGCAAGAGGGGTTCTTTAGTCTACTTATTATGCCTCTAGCTTAACAAAGGGGAGTCCTGTGCTCTGGTTCCTTTGCAAGGTCTGTTTGTGTATTTTATCTATTCACTGCTTCATATAAAATCCATACACAGTCCCTGAAGACCTGGGGCTCAGGCACCCTTCTTCCCATGGCTCCCTGTTGCTTAGTCTACTGAATCATGCACTTGGTGTTTCTCTGACACAGGAATGTCTTTCTTGCAGACTGACCCAACGTCACTAGGAAAGCAATGACCATCCCCATCTAGAACTGAGGGGTATTATTATCTGGGGCAGTAAGGAGGCACACTAAATGGCAACATAAGAGATGAAAGTGGCTGCCGCATCTTGTGTGGAGCTTAGTCTCACAGAGGTATTTGAAGATTGAGCACCCAAGTGGACACTGATAGGAGATCCTACCTGGACTTACGCAATAAATAGTTCTAAATCCAAGGTCTTGAAACACAGAGGCCTACCCAATAGATGAAAGTTATACCCTAAGGAAGTCTCAGCCAACCCATGTTGAGTCTGCATATTTAGCAGGTGATCCCCAAAACAAGGGAGCCAAGGAAATCTAGCTGATCAGACAGGATGAGCTCATGATAATGGTTAATGCCCAATCAAGCACCTACATACCAGGAACAGGATTATCTGACCAGGCATAGGCATCTGAGTCATTTGGGCCAACTTTTTTTTTGCAGTCTATGGCAAAAAATGAAGCAATAGACACAGGTGATTTGTGCCCTTTTAAGGTTGACTAAGAAGTGCCTGTTTTCTCTACTGACTATAAAAAAGAGCCTGTGGTGAGAAGCTCATACAGACTTTGACATTTAATTAAATTGATCCTATGCAGATACTTAAAGAGCCTGGCATTACATATTTTAAAACAAGGATTGTGGTGCTGCATGTTGCATACCACAAAATGGTATACTTACTAAAGAGGATCCAGAAGAGGCCGTAGGGGTGACTTGAGCACTGCTGGGTCTCATGTGAGAATACATCCCAGGAACTCAGAGCAGGATGACTGTGTGGAAGTTTGGAGAAGATTTCAGCAAAATATGAAGACAAGAGAGTGAATTTACAGACCTGGGCTGTGTAACTGCCTAAGCGCTCTCTGATAAGGAATAGTCTGGTTGGCCAAGAATATTCTCCTCAGCATCTCAGAAAACTCATTTATACACCTCTCCATCAGACTTGCTCTCTACTTGAATAGAGATGTCCAGTAAGAGATGACTTTGCCTACAGTAACAGTCACGTGCATTACCAACCCCAGGGGCAGATGCTATTTACTTTTTACATACAAATGCAGCTTCAGGCCCAACTCCCAAACTCCCAAATACTCCCTTAGGAAAAACCTGAGCATGGCTGGTCTATCAGGATAGGTCCATCTTATGACTTACCTTTTAAGTGTGCCACCCTCCAACGCATCCAGAAATTGGCATCAGGTCCTCCTACACACACAGCAGCTTAGCTATCGCTCTGCTAGTGAACAACACAAGGTCACAGCACATGCCTAGGAACTGGCACATGATCATCCATGTTGGCAAAGGGCAGCAGTTTTGGCTCAGGACAACTGCCAGAAAATACCTATGCACCTCTTTAAGGGTTAGCATGTACGAGGGTCTATTCCCCATAGGTAGTGTGGGTGCTTGAGTTTCACTCAATCACAGAATACTTGAGGTTGGAATATAACCTGGTAACTGTCCAGTCCAACCCTCTGCTCAAGCAGGACTAGTTAGAACAGGTTTTTTTCTCAGCTGTGACCGGCTGAATTTTGAATATCCTCAAAGATGGGGCCTCCACAACCTCTTTGGACAGCCTGTGCCATTGTTGCACGTGTTTCAAAACCTTAATGTCTGGGGCCCTTCCCTGGACTCACTCTACCATGCCCATGACAGTTTAGCTGTTTGGATTTGGCCGCTCCATGTAGACTCAAGACAAGAGTACTGTCCCTGCCTTTATTTGTTTATTATTACAAATGTAGCCCTCAATCTAAGTTATAGTCAATCTAATCAGCCAGAGGATAGAAAATTAAGATTTCAGAGCTTGCAGTGCTAAAAGAGGTGTTTTAGTAAGTGGTAATAACTAGATAGCTTAATGTATTAGATCATCTGCTGAACTGTTCATGCTTCCCAAGGGAGAAGAATGGATCTAAGTCCATCCAAACATGTTCACTGGAAGAGCAGGTCAGGGCTCCCCAGGAAATAATTTTTTCTTTCTATTTCTTTCTCATTAGACATTTTACTTTGGATGGACAAGCCGAAAGAAAACTACTTCATTTCATTGTAACCCCTTAAAAGAATCTATATTTCTCAGTCACATGCAAATGAAATCCATATAAACAACTTCACTTTGACGAACTTTGGTGGGCATCTCTGTATTTGCAGGCTGTCTTTCTTGCCCTGACAAAGTGCTAACAAAAGATTGAGCTCTATTAGATTGCTGTAAACATAAAAATGGAAAGGAAAACATTTCTGCTGAAGGACTATTCAAACAGGATGGGAGGTCTGAAACTACACAGAAGGCCATTTCACAAGAATTTTGCTTCAAAATGTAAGATTCCTTCAAACTTTGCCCTCTGCCAATGCTTAGGAATTATTTCTTCAGACTTAGGATTGCTTGTGAGAATTCCCAAACTAAGTATGAAAGGCCTGGCTTCTCACTTGTTTTTCTCTCTTTAGCTGGAGAAATCCAACATTGGGCTGCATGTGACTGCTGTGCTTCATTTCGAACTACTGATGGACTTGAACTCATCATCCAACACTTTAGACAGGAAAGACAGTACTTTAAGGAGTTTTACCTAAAGGACACATTCAAAAACTGGAGTAAATAAATCACATATCTTCTAACAGAAGCAGAAGTTCTTCATAAAATGCCTTATCCCAGACACTTCAATTTCGCCATATTTGTTTGAACATATTTGTTGCTGAGGTTTTAAAAAATTACATAGCCATATGAGGGGAAACAAAATGTTTTAAGCCGAGTGAAAGCCAATTTATAAAGCAGCATTTCATTTTCAGAAGTGCCTTATACATGGTTGTTGTAGTAAGAGAATCAGTTTCAGTATGTGTGTTGAAATACATCAAGTCCCCATGTTAGAGCAAGAGTTCATAAACCATGTAAACACATGTTGCCAGGATATTTGAGGCAGCGGTGAAGTCCCCATGTTAGAGCAAGAGTTCATGAACCATGTATATGTGTTGCCAGCATATTTGAGACAGTGGAAAACTGATCACCACACGGACTGCTGAACGCTGAACAGCTCAGGATGCAGCTAGACAGAACACTGTTGATTTTGGTCACAGTGCCAGTTCCAGAAACACCTACTGATTGCTGCTTTTCACCTTCTTGCAAGCTATGAGCTTCTACAGCCTCATTGACACATTCTTCTGCTCTTGTTGGTGCTAACAGATGCAGGGTCATCCACTAGCTGGGAAGTGGTAACTATCACAAGGCTATTTGGGAGGAAAATACTGCTGTGGCAGCTGATAACCCACATGAATCAAGTGACTCAGGAAAGGCTTGGGAGAATCAGGGTGGCTGGAATAGGCCATGGCTGCAATGGAGTGATCCTATAATACAGTAACTTCTAAAAGGACCTTTCCAGACTCCTCTAGGGTAAAGCCACCCTCTGTGATCAACCGCAGACCCCAGACAGCCTGCAGGTCACCACTGGGTAGGTGCCCCCAGCACTGTGTTGGGAAACAGGCACATTGTGCTGACAGGGGTGACCAGGTTGCACCCACCTAGTGACAAGGAAGATCTCACGATGCCAGAGAGCCCAGCAGGACCCACTCTCATTCCTTGGTTACATTTGTGTCTCCGATCCCTCAAGGAGTCTGCAAGCCTGGGTCTGATCCACTTGAGAGGAAGAGCACACATGGCTGAAGACCGTTTTGCTCCTGCATGCGAGCCAGGACAGACCCATGAGCTCTTTCTGCCACGACAGGGCAGACCGACCAGCATTACAGTGGTACTCACACGGGTTTGTGTGGAAGAGAGTGGATGTTGGAAGGCAGGGAGTGGCAGTGAGAATACCCGTATACAATGTGAAGGAAGGATGGGCACATTGGAAAAAAGACAGGAAAAGCTGGAGATAAAAGTCAAAATGGAAAAGCAAATGGAAGTGAGGCCAGGAAAAGGAGATAGAGACAAATTAAAATGAAATTAATAAATTGACTGAGACAGGCAATGTTGGCAGATTCTTGCATCTCTGAGATATTAACGGATCTGGGCTAGTGCAGGAGACTGGGGATAGCCCACCATGCAATCCATGTGGGCTGACCAATAGAGAAAAATAAACATCTCAGACCAGGAGCAGTTACATGAAAAGAGGAAGATATTGAACACTGAAGCACAGCCTCTCATTCCATGCCTTGCAAAGAGGTGAAAGGGTACAGATATCCATTTTGAACTGACTTTCTGCTGCCTCTGCCAGCCCAGTTTGGAGAGGAGGCCTCTGTGGCAGTGATGTGCTTGATCCCCAGGACGGAGTCTTTTGAGTTGCGCAGTGAGCAGGAAGAGGGTTGGTAGGGCTCTGGGAGACAAGGTGCTATTTTCAGTTACAGTACATGCTGTATATCTCCCCCCGCCGGCTCTGTATTTTGGATAAATTACAACTTTTCTGTAGCGCAGCTATGCAGAACCAATTTTAATTGTTTCCTGGGATACTGAAAGTCTGAATTCCCTTCTGCTTCATTTTGATGAACCAGGAACAGACAGATCAGATGAACAGATGTGGCCACAGTTATAGATGGTACAACTGGAACACAACTGAACAGAAACCTCTCTCCCCGACCCCACAGTTTAAAACTGTCATCATGACTCTTGAACACAATATCTAGACGCTTCCAAATAACACAATTTAATATATTTGAAAATATATTTGAAAGTATATTTGAACATTATAGACAATATTAGAAAATGTTTTATCTTTTACAAACCAGTGGCCAGTGTCTTTCACTGGCAAAAAGACAGTGATATCAACTCCATTAATACCTGCTGTTTCTAAGGCACATATTTGCAAACCACTTTGGAAAACTCCTGTAGAAGCACAGTTTATATGTTATTACCATGCTTCTTGTAGTAAATAGAGAAATTGGCTGTATAGTTTGTGATTTTCTAAGGCAATGGAAACTCACTGTTCTAAAAATAAGTAAAGGGCATCAGGTGCATTTTATTTCTGTACTTTATTATTCTGTACTTTTTTCTGTACTGTATTTCCGTTCTTTTGGTTGATTAAAAAAGAAAAAAAAAGACACTTTATCTGAAAACAAACTGAAAGATAAAGCTCAAATTTCAGAAATCTTGTTTTTTAGGAAAGGGTGCCTCAGGCATTTGGGCCTGTCATACAGCAGCTCAGGTCCAGACTCCGTGACAGAACCGTTGCCATCAGCCTGCTGGCGGGATCCAGCCTTATGCACGGTACTGCACCTTGCAGGACACCCTCCAGTTGTCCCAGTGAAGGGCAGCTCATGACTTCTGAATTAAAATACACTGTTCTGTCCTACTGGGAAACGAGCCCCATGGAGTGGTCAATAAATAAGGGAGAGCAAGGATGAACTTTAATCCATCTTTATAATTCTTTACTGACATTAGTTTTGCGTTGTACGGCTGGACCCCACGTTATGCTCCAGATTTATAACTGGTTCTTCTATAACGTTCACACGATTGCATTGAATGTATTTACTTTCTTTCAAATACAAAACACAAATACAAAAATGACTTCTAATATCACTTCTGTAATTTGATAGGTCAGAATTATCTTCAAAATTATCAGACTTTCAGGGGAAAAAAGGCAAACAAACCTCAACTTTTGCAAAGCAAAAGCACTTAAGAAGCAAAGTCATAAGACATGCATATTCAAACATCAATTATTATAATCACTTAGGGCTGACATAAAGTAACATAATTTCTCATTTGAACATGAACAGCAAAAAAGTGAAATATATATATATATACACAACAAAATATGGAAAGAATCTGAGACAATTCTCTATTGCTCATGGATAAGATAACTTTCTCTTAAACTTTTTAGTGCATTCCCTCCTCCACAAGAATTAATGTGTTTTATTTTATTGCTCTGAGGCTAACTGAAAGCAAAGAATCTTCCCTGCAAATCAAGAACAGCTGTGAGCTAGTGAACTAAGACATATTCACCTGAGATCATTCTGAAATATTGGACAAGATCACTAACAATTAACAGCGAAGATAAACAGCCATTTATATAATTTCAAAGAGAAACAGAATTCATACAGAAGGGTTTCTATGGGACAATAAAATTGTCTTCTACACAGAGACTTCTGAAAACAGCATGGAGAAGATACTACGAGGAAGCTAAGCAGCTTCTTCTTCCACTTTCTTATGTAGAATATTGTCCTGCTTCAACTTTCTAAAAAAAAAAAAAGAGGGGAGGGAAGAAGGAAAAGAGAAAATTAATGATTATAAAAATTCCTTCTGAAACTCAGTTTACCTCATGTTTATGTCAATTTCTGTCAAATTCAATGACTGACTTAGAAATATTTCTATGGTAAATATTCCACATGGATGCATTTATCTAGGTCAAAGAGCATAATGCAAAACCACAAATCTAAATATAGTCTTCATGCGTATACAAATCTGATTACTAGGTGGAATTATCCCTGAAAGAAAATAAATGATCCAATGCTTACTTCTACATGTTTATACCTGCAATTACTTATTTACCCCTTTCTAGATTTCTACCATCTCAGGTCAGTATTTCAACCATGAGACCATCAGATGGAGATGCATCACTCATATGCAGCCTTAATTACCTCTTTGGCATAGCTGCTTAGTGACTACACCATGTGAAGAGAATGAAAACAGAGGAGCAGAAAGTTGCTTCCTGCATACAGAAGCGCTCAGAAATACCATATAGCATGAATGTACACACGAATCACATTACCACAACTCTGATGAATCAGTGTAAAGAAAATAAAGTAACACAATTTCAGATCAAGAACCTGCAGAAGTCAGGTAACCCAAAGTAAACACGATCTCCAAACTAAAAGGAAACCTATGGCTACCATCTTTACCAGGAGAAAAAAGGAACTAACCCCAGAAGGAACATCACCTTGGCAAAGCCTACAGCCAACAAAGCTGTAACATAAAACTTCCTTACATCTCAGTGTAGATTAAATCCAATTATTTGTCTTGGATGCCTTGTTATAACAATGCATCAAATGCAGTTATAGCAGAATATAAAGGTGAAATAAAAAGCCATGTCAATATGATGTACTCAGTGATCCAAGCATGCAAATTAAATTAACAAAAAAGCACAATTTTTGAATGTACTTTCATAGTATCTTCGCACATTAACGAAACTTGTTTTTGTACACCATCTTACATACAAGCGGTATCCAAAATGCTCAGCAGACTTTGGTAATACAATTGCAGAGTTAAGCAGCACAAAAAGAGCACAATTAAGTGCTGCAGGCAAGGAAGAAAAGATAAGCTCTCAGACAAGATTTGAAACAAAAAGGAGAATCAAGCTAACTCTGTATCCTCTCGTAAATCAAGAAGAAATAAATGTCATAAAGCAGTATCAAAATGATCCAGTTTACCTCAATAGCATCATCCATTTCTGTGGTCTCATACAATCATTTTAGCTTGTTCTTGAATTAGGAAACTCTTTTTCTGGAGAACTGTCATCACTGAGGTCACTGTAGCTGTCACTGTTAAAAATAATACATCGGTGAGTAGGGTCTAAAACAAGTATTTTACTTCAAACCCTCCAACCCAGAAGATGCATACGACAAACGCTTTCCTCAAATGCAACCTATTTCCAGAAAATTACTTCAGGCTCATAAAATTTGATATTTTAGAATGCCTTTCTCAGCAGAAATGGGCTTAAATTTGTGGTCTAAGAAATGATGACAAACAATAATCCACCGTCTAAGTAGCATGTTCAATATTCTCTCCCTTGGATACTGAATGTTTGGTGGTGCTTTGCGCCTGCAATCGCAATTAACAGCATGGAGAATAGCAGCTGCTCAGCGTAAGACTAAAATGAATTTCTCATTTATGATAAAAAATGACCATTTTAATCAAAGAAAAATTTAAGACAACTGTAGCGTTCTTTACTCTGAAAGTTTCAATTTAGATTTAAATTACAATTCATGCTCTTCCAGAGTCAGAACACAAACCATTTCCATTGCATCAAGCAACGTTTGGACAGTTTTCCCCGAGGTTTAATCCCCTTCAACTGTTTCCTGAGACAAGTACACTTGTTTCCACAGGACAGGAGCTGCCATGCAAGTGATCATTTTGTGAGTGGCTAGACAAGGAAAGGGTGAAGGACGGGAAACACCACAGTGACTGAGAAAAAGAACCATTCACAAGCCACGCTCTTGGGAAGATGGACAGGGCCTCGTGCAGTCTCTGGCCAGGGATGTCTACCAGGTCTCTAGCTTTCTCTTAACTCTTCTAATGACAAGTTGCATCTCTTCAGAGGAATCCCCAGCTTCAGCCTCCCCTGGCCCTGCTCCAGCTCAGGGAGCCCAAGGGCTTGTGATCTGCAAGAATTCTGCTCAGTTGGTACTTCAGAGAACAGGGCTTGTTTGACGGAACAGCCCTTGAGGGCTCACACTTCGTTCCTGTGGGTTTGCCCGTGCCAGCCCCGGGCACCCGCGCTCCACCAGCCGCCCCCGTCAAACACCACTCTTACCACGAACTACAACTCCATCCAACAGCAGCTCAGCCATGGAGGTCTCCCTCTCTCTGGCCAAGTCCCTCCTGCTGGGACATCAAGCACACCACGTTCCCAGCAAAAGGTGACCAACTCCCTTAGCCCTCTCAGTTGATCTACGGTGGCTGCCTGCTGTGTAATGCTATGCAACCCCATAGCTGGAGATCTTTGGTCTGGACTTTAATTTAGAATCATTGAACAGACCTCACTAGTGTTTCTTACTGAACACTGCTTTTCAGCCTGAATCTCACCTTCTCCTCTTTGCAGAAGAATCATTGCGGATTAAAAACAAAGTCAAAACAGCTATTTTAGAAGAGTGGGACAGTGAGAGCAGCACCACTGTACCTCGGAATGCTAAGAAAGCCTCCCACAACTGCAGCAAATCACTGTAGCAAGTTCTGCACAAGGCAAAGTCGATATTCCAAATACTTCAACGTCTGTTAAGACTTTGCCCATTGCATTCTCTGCATTACATACATGTTGTTAATGCTGCTCTTGTAAAGAACGGATCATGTCAGTTTTGACATTCTAACTAAAATTGAGCATTTTAACTGGAAATGCTCAATTTGATCATTTCACCAGCTGGAAAACAATTACAGAGCTCAAGTGAGGAAAGTGTTGTTAACAGTATGATCAAGCATGCCAGATGTACACACACAAAACATCACTGGTACTGTACTTACTTCTTTCTGAAAGTATCCATGGAAACATGGAATAAAAATTCAGCATTATTAAGACAGCTTTGCATTTTCACATAACAGCAAAATAGAAAAAATAATTCACACATCACAAAATAAAATTACTGATAGCATCAAGTTGTCTAATCTCACTATAAACCTGGTTTACATTCAAAGACCTCAGCCAGCTGAGTGCTGCATTACTTTTCTATGGACTCAGATGCCCAGTGACATTCAGAGATCCAAAACATCACCAAAGCTCCCTATGCAATCTAGTAGGACGCTTAGCCTTATTGTAGGAGCCTCAGGAAAAATGCTGAGACCTATGTAGTGACATGAGAAGCACCCAGCTTCATCTCTCAGAGGCAGTTAGGCATTGCCCTCCACCCAGTATCTCATCACCACTCTTCCCCTTGAGGAGACAGTCTGTTCTGGAGACCCTCATAACAGCAGTCACTCACTGCTGGAGGCTTCAGTTATTTCAGTGACTACCCACCCCTACTTTTTAGGCTTGTTTCAGTTTGCAGAAGTTGAAGGTCATGTAATTAGCCCAGACCTATTAAAACGCTTACTGGGGGAGGAAGAGGGTGGGGATCAGCCTGGTTCTTGTTTCTACTCTGCCCAATTCAGTTCAAGCTTTTGACTGATATGCTGAAGAAGTGCTTTTGTCACTATGTTCTCAGTCTCCCCTATTTAGGAGGTGCACTGCTGGGTGTTGAGTCAATTTAGGGCAAAAGGAAACACAGGACAGGACAGAGGCACAGAATTCTTCCCTTTCCTCACCCTGCATTGCTCTAGCAAAGAGCACAAGGGCAGGCCACGATCGCCTCAGGAACAGACTCTCCCTGAGGCTCTCAAGGCTTCATCTGCTTGAAGGAGAGCCCCAAGCACCCCCAGAAGCTGTAGCATCATGTTAATGGGAGGAATTCAGGCTCCATAGAAACCTGAACTTCTTCAAGAACTGAGAAGTTGCTACTGAACTTGAAAGCAAACAGGGACTCATGAATCATGGCAGGTCTGGGTCTGGGTACTCCAGCTTCAAATCAATATGCATGTCAAATTTGTAAGATTTTCTATGATGTGAACTGTATTCAACCGGAAAAAAATTGGAGAAACACTCTGTATGGTATAAACCAAAAAGAGTCATCACTTCTCTTAGGAATAAATGTGTACTTTCTTCCAAATTACGCTTAGCTGCTACACAGATATTAAACATAAAAATCAAATGGATATTTTGTGCTCACAGCTGCTAATATTATGTGTGTTGTATAAATCCTATTTAATGTAGCAGCTACAAAAGCAGTGAAAAATAATCAAATAAGCCTGGCTCTTCTTTTATGAATTTTTTTCACACTGAATCTTCAACTGAAAATATCTGCTTACATTTCCTTCAGCAAGTTTTCTCTCAGTTTGCATACAAATCAGTTAATAAATATCTTCGGTATGATCATGACACTAACTTCATCTGGCTTGTAAGTTCTGGCAAAGTTGGACTCGCACAGCAAAAGGGAATTAGTGACCAGCTCTAAGGCCACACTATAGTAGTTCTATTGCATCTTTCTTTTCATGAGATCTGGAGTATAAGGGTATAGCCAAGGGAAAAACAACAAAATACTACATGTGGTATCACTGCATTTGGTTAATCCCTTCAGTCCTCAAGACTGTCCCCTGACAGCATACAGATTAAGACTTTTGGTCACTTTGATCCTTATTTAATCTAGCTGTAGTAAATGGAAATACATTCACTTCAAAGTGAAACACTATCTAGGGCAATAGCTGCAGCATTATATTTCCAGATTGGACTAAGGAAAACATTTTCTGTTAAGGTGTTACATGATAGGTTTCTGTTTAAAGGTTCACTCATCCCTGTTTTCTCAGGACACAAGAAAAAGAGCATCTTCCTACATGTGCTGCATTATTACCAAACTCGTGTCCATTCTAGACCTCTTTTTTTCTACTGACAGAAGTGCTGATGTACCCCTGCTGTCCATCAGTCAGTTTCATGCATGCAGAAGGTGGCACCGCAGCCTTGCCCGTACCCAGCCCAGCGACCCTCACTTGCTTCCTGCATTCACCTCAGACCTGACTTGTCACTTTGCACTTCTCAGACTGGACTGTCACTAGAGTGCAGTCACTGTCACTGGGCCCCAGGGAACGGAGCACTGTGTCCTGCTGGCGAGGATGCTACGGCTGCCCCCTGGCTCGCAGCTTGCATCCTTTTCAGGAAGCCCGTTCCCTGGTGCTGACCATGTTCAAGCCATCAGACTGCCTTCACTTTCCTCTGCAACATCAGGTTTTGGCCACTGGCAGAGATATGGTGGTGCAGCAGGTGGACTATTGCTTGGAACAAGTAGGACAACTCCTTCTAGCCTATTTGTCCTACTAACCTACTCTGCCTAGAGTGTCACACATTCCAGTCTATTCCGAATTACAATACTCTGAAGTGTATCTTACTCACTGAATCTTTCCCGACATAATTCACTCTTCCCCTTTACTAACCAAATCCCATAAGAGCTACTTGTAAACATTAAATAGTTCCTCTTCATTAATTACATCCTTTACCCTGAAAACTGCAAATATCACACCTCTTTCACCTCTTTTCAGGTCTCAGGCGGTCCAGCCCTTTCAGTGCTATAGACCTGAGAGTAATTTTGTATGAATTCTGCAAGATACTGTGGGAATCCCACGACAGCCACTACCTCTTTTCACTTAAAGACAAAGTGAACCCACCTACTAACAGGGATATCCGAGCCAGCCCTGCCTGTACTTCCGTTCCCTCACACAAGCCAAACAAAACAGGGAGGCAGCTCCCTGTTTTTTTACAGGTGCTAGCCCAAAACTCCTTAGAGAGCGGATTTGGGCATCAGCTGGCCCATGCTAATGCAGTAAACACTATTTCTTTTTTCCTTTTCTCCTTTTCTTTATCCACCAAGCTTTTTGTCCTTTGGTCACTCTTTTACAAGTCGCTGAATGTGACTCATCAGTCATCTTTTATTAATAAACTGCCCAGACCTTACTAGAGTACTCTGTGGCTAGATGAAGCAGAGCTGGTCCCTTCCCTTGGCATATGGATTGGTGACCTGCAGAACCCTTTTTTGCTGCAGCCCTGCTCACCCACACTTTCACACCTAGAAACTCCTCTCACAGAAATATTCCTCACATTCACCCCCACCTATTGGGCACTTATTTATCTTCATCTTGTCCCCAAGTAAAACCTTGTTTCATTATTTTCTGCTCAGGCTTCTAAATTCTCTACCTCTTTTTATATTATTTCTTGGTTCTGAATAGTGCTTCCAGATCCTCTTTAACTATTTGCAAAATGCCAACCATGTGCTGTAACCTCCTCTTGCAGGCATTAGTGAAGGTGTAGGCTGGGGGAAGAGAAGAAATGAAGCCTACTGTTGCTAAACTTGCTATGGGGAAAAAAAAACAGTAACATGACTTTATTATATCTCAGCAATGAAGCCACCAGAGTGACTTAGCCACTTTAAGTCATATTTGGACACCTAAATACTATTTAGTAATATTTTTCCTCTATCTTCCCCCGCTCCAATTATTTGCTCAGTTCCTTACTACCTCTGGAAGCACAAAAGCTCCTGGGAACTAAGTGTTCACTGGAGAGTACACTCTTGTTTCAAACTAGGTATGTTTTTGCTTGCATGTAAGTATTACCAGAGTGTTTCTACCAGATTAAGCCTCACCAAATAAATAAATAAAAATAGCTGAAGTTTTATTTGGTTGTAGATACTTAGGGCACTCGGCTTAGGTGTGCAGGGGTGTGATGCATCTTCAAATCGACTCTCTGTTTGGTTTAACATGTTAAATGTTCTAAAATAGTGTCCTAATTATGGGGCTGCTAAATATTCTGGAGTGACTAGTCCTTCTGAATAATCTCATGCTGAAATGAGTACTTCCCTTTGTCTCAGGCTTCATTCTTAACTCTCCTTTCAGTGTTTTTATAGCCCACATTCGGCACTACACTGCTCAACTTGCTGGCCTCCATGCATTCCTTTTCTGCTTACATCTTTGCCATAATAAACAGCACAAGCTCAACTCATGTAGGCAGTACTGGCTGAGGTATGCAGGGAATCCTCACCTCAGATTTGCTTCAAAAAATCATGTTATGACATGCTTTACTCTTCAAAGAAATCATTAGTGTTAGGGGGTTTAAAGGCTTAAATTGGAAATCTTTTCCACTCAGTAGGTGGATATGTGAGCAGCTGTGCTGTAATTAGTAGGGAAATTCACTCCTGATGGCTCTTCTCTGCAAAATGCTCCTCTTTCAATCTCAAAATGTTTTTTGATTCCAAAGTGTTTTCTCTCAGGTGGAGAGAGAAGGGTTGTTTGACTGCTATGTAACAAGGTAAATGGTAACTCAAATAAAACAGACCTAGTGAGTTTAGTGCTTTATCTATAAGAATAGAGCTGGATATGTTCTGTATTATATTTAGTCATTCTATGATTTTTTTAAAATTGTTATTTCATCCTGGTTTCCCTCAACCTCATTATTATTGTTATTGTAATGAAATGGTAGCTTTGATTAATAGGGCCATTAAAAACATGATAAGTTAACACAGTTGAACAGTATTGCCACATTCAGCAAACACACCAAGAACTTGGTGTCCAAGGCAACAGCAATAAAAAGGATTTTGGCTTGGCCCAACCATGCAGTTTTAATCTAGATCCAAACACTTCTATTAAGTTTAAAAGACTTCCCAACTGTTTTGTATCAGGCTCTTCTCTGCTAGACACCATTAATTGCTTGGCTGTTGTAAAATAAAAGTGATGGTTTTTACTTTGTTGCTACAATCATTCAAATGCAACTAGATAAGAATGTCACTTAGTTGCTGGATCACCTAGCAAATCTCTTTCCGTGGGAATCTACCACTAATAAAAGCTATCATAGGAGGCCAGATGCTAAACTAACTTTACTTGAATTTTCTAAGGATTTTTAAATTTCTTTTTAGCTAGAACATATGATTCTGGATTTATTCTTATCAGCCTCTGAAAAGGCAATTATGTTTGCTATTTCCAGATACTTCTAAAACTGGGTTTATGTTAGGCGTACAAAGGAACAAAACAATACGTGAAGAGCTCCCTATTCTTTTCTGAATTTTTGATTTGACAGAAGGGACCCTCTGAAAACGTTTCTGTGAATCTTCAGGCAAGTAAAAAAGAAAAGCTACCTTGGAGACAATTTACATCCACGTTGCAAGTATGCACTGAGTGTCCCAGTTGCTGCAAGCAACAGTCCCAGGTATGGAGGTGAAGGTTTCATAGGCCTTGAGGAAAACTCTGGGTGGAACTGAACTCCCACAAAATACGGATGATCTAAAAGACAAATGTCAGAAAGTTTAATGAAAATTTCACACAGCAGTCTAGAAACCATATCAATATATGTAGATTTAAGGTGGAGGGAAGACCTGAACTTTCTTTAATGGAAAAGGAACAAAAACCTGATACGAGAAGCAGGATATTAGGAGAGCAAGTTAATGAAAAATATTTGAAGGTTGAGTAATAAAACTGCAGAATAACAGAGAAATGCAAGGGAGAAAAAACAGAGGCTGTATAGGTAACAATTCTGCCATTCCTCATATTATTTTCATGAAGTGTGTTAGTCTCCAATATATATCTATACATACATATTCAGAACATACATGTATACATATCTGAAGGAAAAAACGAACAGTTCCTTACGGAGAAGCATTACCATATAGCAAATATTTATGCACTAACAGACAGATACAGAAGTAACACACACGGAAAACTGGGAAAAACAAGGTTCAATGTCTGAGGCCTGGAAGGGATATCCAAGGCCTGTTACTGAACGCAGCCCATTCAGAAAGGGTGAAGCTCTGCTCCCTGAGCCCCACCACAAGTTTTTGTTGCCAGTGGAAAGCTATTCAGATACTCTGTCCTTCTGTTTAGAAACCTTTTCCTAATTCACAGGCTATCTTCTTCACAGCCAGCTTACATCCCTTTCTTAGGGGCTCTTCTGTCCTGCTGTTTGTCCTCTGTGTTTAAGGATGACAATGCCATCGTTCAGCTCTGTTTGCTAAACTAAGTGAACTATGCTGCTTTGTCTTCTCTCATCTTGAGCTCTCTGAATCTCCAACCACCAAAACACTACTTTGCTACTGCTGTGTTTGCTTCCCTCCTTTCTTCTTTGGAAGGAGAACTAAGGCAAACGTTTTGGTACATGCACCATTCCTTCCTTGAATACTATTTTAACAGAGCTAACATTAAACACTTCAAAGGCAGGACATTGGACCAAATTAGCCACAGCACTCTCTCTTCTGGTCCAACAATTTCCCAAACATTCAAGGAATTTCTCTGCAATAAAGAATAAGTAGTAACAATAAAACAGTCTTTTTTTTTTTCTATGAAGGTAATGAGTATCATCTAGTTTATTCTTACTACATCTGCTGCTATGTCTTAAAAACAACCTGGACTCTGAATTTATCCCATAACTTCTTTCTTTCTTTTCATGCAAAACAAGACAATGACAAAGCACCGAATAGTCCTGTGGATATATTTTGCTAAAAGCTTTGTCAAAGCTATTTGGTGTACTGTATTTCTGTGCTTCTGCTCCACCCCATCCTCCTCCCTCTGATGATTGTTTTTCCTCAATAATCAGAGTCTGTTTGCAGCTCATCGTGAAGTAACACCAGGTTTTACTGTTACTTTTATTCTTTTCACAGTAACATGCGATTTAAAAATCCTGCCTGATTTATTTCACTATCTTCTCTATACAAGTTGTTCCACGCAGAAAAGGAACAGCCTTCCAAGACCATTGACCAGCATGTGTAGCAGAAGCATGCTATCAGGAACAAACTAAACAAAGATCATGATGGCAATTAATATGAACTCAACTGTATTCCTTGATCACAGTTTACTTTAGAGGTTGCAGTTGTCGAAATGCTAAGATGTCTGTATTCAAACCCTTGTAAAAATTATAACACTGTATTCAGCATGCGAAGTATAAAATTATTTGTCAGCAACTTTACATCAGAAATAGCACTCTAATATGACAATGCATTCTTACAATAAATTTCTCCTTCTAAACATGGTGTTTAACAAAGACAATGCCAGTTAGAAGCCATTAAGAAAAAATCTTGTTACATAACCTGCATCTTCTGGTGTCTGCTATCAGTCTAGCCAGGAGTGATTTAAAAGAACAAGCAAGGTTCAAGCAAAACCAGAATAACTTTTTAATAGTTGTTCTGTGTAAACATTCAACAAGCAATGCACAGCATTGGTCTTCTTGAATGCTCATAACAACGACAGCAAGACTTGTTTCATAAAGTAATACAAACCCACAAAATTTTCACAGTATTTCAAAAGCTCATCTATCTGAATCACTTGTGTGAAAGAAAGGAGTTTGCTTTCTAAAAGATTTTCATCCTTGGATTGTTTTATTTTGATTCTAAAAAGGGGTATGGAAGTAAAGACTGACAAACTGATTGAGTTTGGAAGGAATACTGGGAGGTCTCCAGTCCCATCTCCTACTCAAAGCAGGGTCAAACTCAAGGTTAAATGAGGCTGCTCTTTGCTTTGTCATTTTCAAGTTTTAAATGTTCACAGCCTCTTTGGGTGATTTATTCCAGTGATGTTTTAAGCTTTCATTATATGCATGTGTATATACTTCATACATGCAAGCAAACTGGGCACATTAGTTTCTGGGACCAGACTGGATGCCTTGGAGGCTGCAGAGAGAGGTGGCCAGTGTCCTCGTGAAGCTGTTCTCCACCTTTAAAACACTGTGGCAAACAAAAGAGGTTCCTGACAATCTTCAAGAAGAAGGAGCCAAAAAACTGCATGTCAGCATTAGGTGACTGCATGTCAAGAAGGAGCCAAAAAACTGCATGTCAGTCAACCTAATCTCAGTTTATGGCAGGATTCAGACAAATCCTCCAATCCTCCGATTTTCAGGCCTTTGAAGGACAGGAAGGCAATTTGTGCTGTCAAGTTAGGAGCACTCAGTGTGCAGATGACAGGAGACCAGGGGCTTTCTGTCATTTTAACTTTAGCACAGGTTTTGATATGGTTTCCTAGTAGCCAAGTTAGGACATATGGACTAGTGGGTAGACCCCAAGGTGGGTTAAAAACTAGTTGAACTGTTGGATTCCAAGAGTAATGGTGAGTGGTTTGAGGTCCAACCAACAGCATGCTTGGAGACGCTCAAAACTTGGCATGATGTGGTTCTGAAAAACCTGGTCTGTTTTGGGGTTGGACTAGTTTGCCTTTTGAATTATTCTGTGATAATATATGAATACATGATGCCATTGAACTAAAATTATGATGGTTTGGCAAAGTAGTGTATGTCCTTTTGATAACCAGATACACTCACGGTCCTGAAGAAGTGTAAGGCCCCTAAAATACTCTTGATCTTCATCCATTGCAATACACAAGCAGACTCAACAGTACCCAGTAGTGTCCTGGCTGCTTCTGCCTACATGTCACTTAATTACCTGTAGTTTACATAGTTTTCATGGATGCCTAAAGTGTATCTAAACAAATAAGCCACTCACTTTCCAGTTCAATAATTTCCATTCTGTTCCCCTCCATATCATGGCCAACAAATTTCAAACCTTTCTCTTCAAAGCTGCAAATCAATTCTGGGTTCACCTGAAATATATACAAAAAAAAAAGTTCTACTTATTGATTTAACAGATAGTAGTAGTTCAATTGTAAATGCCTTTAATAGCTATATGAGCATGAAAAGAGTTGGGAAAAAGAGTTGCTTTTTTTCTTAACAACTCTGGCTTAAAATTTGTAAGGGTGAGCAATCTTTTTTAATACGAGATGAGCAGTATTTTAAAAACTTATAATAATTACACACAAAATAATACATCCAGAGTCTCACTTGCTTGCTGTCCTCCTAATTCCGAGCAGTCTTGTATTTCTTCCTTTTGAAATGGCCCACTTCCAGCAGTAGGGGTCCTCTGTTTGAACATACACAGTTCAGTACTCTAGGACACAGGGTTTGTGGTTCTAAACCCTTGAGATTGAGGTGCTGTGGAGAAAGCTGTTCCACTTCCTTGGTGATGTGCTAACCACTGGGTTACTAAACAAATTCTGAGTAACTTCACCACTGCCAAATTCTCTGCCCAGCTTTTAAGGGAACTTAAAGCTGTCTGGTTAAATTTGTGGCAAGCACATACCATAGTTAGGCTCCCCTAGATACAATGGAGTAAGGTGCTTTCCGAACTATCTCAGACTTAACTGCACGCAACCAGCTCCCGTGCATCTCCTTGAATGACAGCATTTTCAACATGCACACCCAGGGGCCAGTTGGACGATTGTCAAGAAGCAAGTGAGCTGAATTGACCTGTGAGATATAAATGTCCTGACCCAGTCAGCCCAGAAGCAACACACTAAAGGATTATAATCTTGCACCTTTGGAGCACTTCACAAAAAGCAGGGTCGTGCCAACATTACTTTCCAAAACAACTTGCCAAGATGCTGCACTGTCTCTGTGACAGGATCAGTGCACTATGTTATTCCCCACTAAGAAGCACTTTCTAAAACACCTCTGTGTGGAGTTCCAGGCCCTTAGTACACGATAGTCATTGACAAAATGGAGCAAGTCCATAGAAGGGTCATCAGGAGGGTTAGGGAACTGGAGCACATGCAACATGGGAGGAGAGACTGAAAGAGCTGGGTTTGTTCAGCCTATGAAAGAGAAAGCAAAACGTGAGGTCTAGTTGCTTTCCTCGGTTTCTAATGGGAGGATATACAGATAGTAGAGCCTGATTCTACTCAGAGGCACACAGCAAAAGACTGAGAGGTAACGGATACAAACAAGCCCCATAAAAGCTCCAGTTAAATATAAGGAAAAAATGGTTTACAGTGAAGTCGTTAAGCAGAGGAACAAGTTGTGCAAAGAGGTTGTGGAGTCACCATCTCTGAAGATACTCAAAGCTGGACTGGACAAAGCCTTATGCAGTCAAATCTAATGTTGAAGTTGGCTCTTCTCCAAGCAATGAGTTGAACCAAATGACTTCCAGAAGTTCTTTCCAATCTACATGATTCTAACTAAGCACTATTAAACCTTGTTTCATGTCAGAAATCTCCCATTTGCTTCAAATAGAATCTTGACTATCAGGAGGAACAATTTGCTTAAGCTATAACTTCTGAGTATATAAATTAGTTTTAGTAGCGCTTACCTCATATCGATGCCTGTGTCGTTCCTCTACAAACATTTCGTTGCCATAAAGTTTCCCTGAATATACAACAGGAAAGCAATTAGCATTTTAATGGTTTTTACAACTATTTCTAGGAAAGACCTAGAAACTACAGCATTACCTTCCAAATACCTAGTATCTGATCTACAGTACTGTGGAATTTAAACCTGAAAAGAATTTCACATGGAAAATAAACAATGGGACACTATTCATTTCACCATGACTTTTATTTTTTTTCTGAGTCATGACTGTATATTTCAATTTATTGATACCTGAGCATATTCAGGATTTATCTTCAAAATTTCCAGACTACAAAATAGCTTAGGTAGACTGTATGATCTGAAAACCAGGTCTAAATTAATTAAAACTGTAAAGCCAAAACTACAAAACAAATGCTTCAGTGAACAAGCACCATAAAATCCCTACACTGTTTTACAGCAGCTGTATGCAAAAGCTGCAGTGAAAGAAGAATCTCAGCCTTTTGCTTCCATCTGTTCCATTTTAGCAGATTTTGCCTGGCAGTTGGCATAATATTTGCAATTTCATAAAAAGAATATTGTTTTTCTCCCTCTTCCTGATCTCTTTACCCAAATGAATCTCTTGCTGCCCTCTGAGCCTAATATGGAAGGCAACACTGCCAACCACCAAAGAATCAGTTTGAAATGTGCACTAAAATGAAATTTAATATAGCTCTCACTTAAATTAACAGTCCAAACCCTGCTCTCAGTTTATCCCAGTATCTCTAAGACTTGTCTTGCTTAGAGGTTGGTAAAATCTTTTTTTTTTTTTGTTACAGCAAATATTTTTTATTTCATTTCCTACAAAAAAATAATTTTCTTTCTCCAGTCAAGACTGTTTCCAGGACTGAATTAAGCCTAGAACAGTGCAGGGTCAGAGACTGGATATCAGCAAGGCCTGACTATGTTTAGGATACAGACCAGCACATATCCTCAAAACAAGATAAGGACTAAGAGGACCAGGTAGAGGATGTTTAAGGCTGAGGAGTACTGGCAATCTGAGGGATTTAAGGCTGAGGGGTACTGGCAATCTGAGAGCATGACTCGCAATGAAGCTCCAAGGAAGAGGATGATCTGCTTCACACTGGGGACAGCAGAAAATACAGCATGATGATGGCTATATGCTTAACTTAATAGAAAAAACAGCTCTAATATAAGAAACAGAGATATCAGCCAAAATATCTGGGAAGCAAGCTCGAAGCAAACAAAACCAGATAGACACATCCTCACACAACAGACAAAAACGCATAAGTCTGCCAGGAGATAATGCGGATGCTGAAAGTTTGCATAAATTAAAAAAACAATTAATTTCATTAAAAAATACATCTATCAGACTTCATTAAGCACAAAGCTACTCTCTACATCTCAGGAAGTCGGAACTGCAAATTAACTGGACACTGAATTTACTGCAAGAATATACTAAGTATTTCTGCATGCACGTCTTGTTCCTGTAGTCTTTCACATGCATCTGCTTTTAGCTCTTGCTAGGGATAAGGCGCTGTGCTTGATAGAGCACTGCTCTGCCACACGACTATTCTTATGCTTCACCATTTTAAATCCTATCAGCCCAAATAAAATCAGAAGGAAACTTGAGTAGAGATATATCCTTAGTATTTCCTTACACTCTGACCTTCCTATGAAAATAATTAAGTATTAAAATTAAAACTATTTATATAAAATTGTTTTCAGTTTTTTGAACAGTATCCTCAGGGCTTATTACAGCAATTTAACATCTCAAATCCTAACTTACTTTTTTTCTTACTGGGACTTGTGCAGGGTAAATGTATATAAAAGAGTATCAGAATGAATGAGCTCAGGGGAGCTCCCATCCAACAGCTTGTTGGAGGCTCTACTGCTTTGACAAAAAGTGCTTTGACATTTTTGCTTTGCCTAGTCTATCCAAAAGGTGAGCGATAATAGCCAAACTGTTACTTACTTAAAACAGAATTTTGTGTTTTAAAAACAGTCCTCCTCTTTCCCAGTCTCATAGTTCCACCCATATCTCCAGGATTGTGTTCTGGCATGTCAATGACCTTTAGAGGAAAATTGTTTAAATACTCTTTTGCCAACAAAGAAAATATACAACAACATATATACAGCAACCTGCATAAATTCATAAATGGTAACATTATTTAATTAATGTGCTCAGTGCATTAAGGTCCCAATAGTGAGAACAAAGCATTAGAAAGGAAAAGCATGTTCAGAATTAGGAACACTTGGAGGAGATATATGAGTAAAACACAGAATCACAAAGGTTGGAAAGGACCTCTAGAGATCATCTAGTTCAACCCGCCTCCACACACAGGGACACCTAGAGCACGTGGCCCAAGCAGGTTTTGCAGGTCTCCAGAGAAGGAGACTCCGCAACCGCTCTGGGCAACCTGTTCCAGTGCTCTGTCACCCTCACTGGTAAGAAATTTTTCCTTAAGTTCCTGTGGAACTTTGAAGCTTCAGTTTGTGGATGTTTCCTCTAGTCCTATCACGGGTCACCACTGAAAAGAGGCCAGCACCATCCTCCTCACTCCCTCCCTAAGGTATTTATATACACTGATTAGATCCTCTCTCAGCCTTCTCCAGGCTGAACAGGCCCAGTTCTCTCAGTCTTTCCTCACAGGGCACGTGTTCCACACCCCTGATCATCCTCATAGCCCTAATAGCCCCCTAACATCTTCACTGAATGTTCATCTTCAATGAATGAAGATCAACAAAAGCAATTTATGAGTTTCTTAATTTGGGGAGGAAAAGAAACCCTTCAAAATGCTAGAAATGGGCTGATTCTGCCATAAGGTATTATGCATGCTAAAAGTTTGCATAGATTTTTTTTAAATCAGTAAAATCATGGAAGCAAAAAGAACCCACATTATTCTGGGCAGGTATTAGTATACATCAGACTCTTTCTTCCATTTCTTTCCTTAAAGTATTTATTATTACAAATGTTGTTTCCTGCACTGACAGGCAGAAACAGCTGTCTCAAGAGACGGTATGTCCACTTGCAAGAGGAAAGGGCAGGGGAGGTGGTCACAGGGCAGCAAAGTGAGTAAGAAAAGAAAACATTCACAGCACGACTCTAATCCAGCATCATAAAAGCAGAGTCGTGGAAGAGATGACTTCAACATGTCGCCTGTACTACTTCAGATGACAAACGTAACCAATTTATGACAGTGAGAGTAAGAATGAACTTTCCCCTCCGATTCTCCTTTACTTAAGAGTTTCCTTAGATTGCTGAAGAGCGCACAGAATATCAGGTTGCCTTGCTTGAAGATGACACTTCAGCTTCTAACAGAGAGCATATTTAGATCCTGGTTTTGTGGAATGAAGAAAATGAGGCAAACAGTTACAGCATGGGGCAAATGGATTGCAGGATAGTGGCAGTAAAAGGATGTGATAAACAACTGCTTGATGAAAACTGTGTGTTTAGTTTTGCTCAGTTTCAAAAGCATGTTGAGGATCTCAACTATATTTCAAGAAAGTCTGCTACAGAGATGTAAACTCTTTCAGAGCAGTAGAAACACGTAAACGGAAATTACGACTTACATGCTTGTATTTGCACACGTACGCTCCATAAGGAACGCAATTGACAGAGAAAGGTTCTAAAAATACAAATATTCACATATATGAGTAGTCTGGAATTGGATTTTTATTAACCTTAAATTGCCCTCTGGGAGTAATAAAAACAATTGCTGATGATACACTTCATAAAGTGAAGTTATTCAATTTAGAAGGGATGGTGGAAGGTGCTTAGCCTTTGGCCTTGTGCCAGTGCATTTCAGCTGAGCAATTATCTCTGTATAACCTCATACCTTCAAAATGTTATTTATAAGCTATGTACTCATTACAAAATGTCATGAGCAGAAGTTGTGAACAAACCAGTAGAAGATTACAAATCACAGAATCACAGAATGGCTGAGGGTAGCAGGGACCTCTAGAGATCATCTAGTCCAACCCCCGTGCTCCAGCAGGGACACCTAGAGCACGTGGCACAGGGTGGCATCCAGGAAGGTCAAATTCTCTAGTTACCTCCCAAAAACATGAAGGTAAGGATCATGCAGCACTATCAGCTGAAAACAGAGGTAAAACGACTCCTCGAATCCACATTATTCCAAAAATAACAAGATTGTCAACTTTTATTTCATATTCTGCCATTTTCTTTCACTTTTTTATCAGTGGCCAACGCTACCTTAAAAAAAAGCAGAGAAGTTCAGAAGCAGTTACAATGTACAGGACAGTGTAGAGTACACTTAGCTCACCTGAAGTCAGACACGTTTTCTATGAGGCGTTATTTATTTGCCTGTACCCAGACTACAGGCAACCCTGAATTTACACTCCTATTTCCTGTTAAATGAGGACTGAAACAGTGACAAATATCTTTCCAGTCTTTAGGTATATGCTCCTTTTCTGGTGATGAAAATTATAATTTAATGGGAATTTACACTCCTATTTCCTGTTAAATGGGGACTGAAACAGTGACAAATATCTTCCCAGTCCTTATGTATATGCTCCTTTTCTAGTGATGAAAATTATAATTTAATGGCTACCTAGTGAATATTTGCAGCTGACAAGAAAGACTACAAGGATTGAGATTTCTTTTAAATTTGGAAACTGAAGTTAAGATCTTATATCTCTTCATTCTCAAAAGCCCAACTGCTGTCCACTGACCTCAGCTTTACACTTATTAAAAATTCTGCATGGACAGATCTGGCCTAACTTTTCTAACTAAATCCTGACAGTATCCATCTCTCTCTTTTTTTTTTTTTTTCCTCCTCTTAGAAGTAGAGGTAGAAGATGAAGGAGAGGGTACGTTCCTGACAGGCACTGCTCAATTCTTAGATTCCTTCTTTAGGCCACTGGCTCTAAATCACGGGACACAGCAATGTTCACTAAATTATTGTGCTTAAAAGTGTTAGTCGGGAAGACTCGGGACCATCAGCTCACAAACAGATGACCAGTTTGAACAGGCAGTAGGATGTACCCGACTGAGCAGGTTACAGGCAAGAGTCTGGACACTCCTCGCAGTTAGTCTTTGCTTTCCCAAAGACCTTCTTCACGGTCTCGGTGGTTACACTAGTGCAGACAGGGGCACGTACGTGGGAGACGGCCCTGCCCTTAAAACTTGCATTAGCGTCTGCTGATGTCTTAACCGAGTAGCACTGTATGACAGAACTGTTCAGTCTTATTTCTATTGACGGCACATTTTCTGCCCAGAGAAGAGCTGCACTGAGTTTAACCATCAAGCAACTTATTGTGTGTGGCCATGTTGATTTTTCATTCGTGTTTTGTTGCTCTGATAGCTGCATTATAAACTAGCTCTCCATCTTCCCAAGATTTTTAGGCTTATGATACTAAGAGATAGACAAGGCTTCAAATAATTGTTTTGACTTGGCGGAAAGGGGTTTGTATGAATTAATGCCTCAGGACTGTTCTGCCCCAGCTCTTCCTTTTTGATACAGTCTGTGGCTGTGCTCCCACTCCAGCAGCTAACATGGCACAACCCACAGTGTTTATTTATTGTGTGAATTTTTCTGCAACATCTGTGCTAAGAAGCTCTGAAAGCAAAGTGGCACCGCAGCCCTACTGCTAGGGCTTCAGGAAGGAGGGTACAAGAAGAGGTGAGGATATAATTGCATCTTCCTTGCCCCAGTCTCTGAAAACTGCTAACACTGCAGGCATTTTACAGGGATCACACACATCACACACCAGACAGCCAACACGAAAAAGAAAATGAATCACTCTGACATAACACAAAGCACGTTCTAGATATAAAGCAGCCTGATTAAATCACACTGTTGATGAACAGTGGCTTTAACCATCCATGAAATGCAATATTCCTTCAGAAATCTACTGCCTGGATTGTTTCATTTTTATTAGAAAATGCATAAAAGTAAATGAGAAAACCTCTCAAGCCCAGACACAACATAGAGAAGCCAAGCCCCTGGAAAGCTACCACACCTCATTTTGCTAACGTCCCCAGGACCATTGAAACTTGTCTTTCTTTTGCCTCACATCTTGCACTGCCGTTTTGATGAGTAGATCTACCTTGGAACTACAGGGAGAAAGGGGAAGGGGGTGTTAAAACCTTTTTTTTGGGGGGGAGAGAGAAAGCCTGTGGTTTTTCCCTGCTCTGCCTTTGGAACCCAGACCTCCAACCCTCGCTGCCACCCGCCAGCACACAGCGAGTTCAGCGGAGCAGGGGGTTCCGGGAGGGCAGTGCGTCGCTGAGCGGCCAGCCACGCTCCAGGTACCTGCGCTCACCTTACCGCGCACGCGGGCTACACGCTGCACTTTAGCATTTCCACTCAGTGCTACTGAACAGCTGGAGGGCACTGTCTTGTCACTGAGCTGATTCCTTGGCAAGTCAGTCCACATAATCTGCATAAACCTCTGTCTGGTGAACAATTTGCCACTGCTGAAAGAAATCACTATTTACATTTCCATCAAAGGATAGGAGAAGTGTTGACCCGAAAGACTAGCTGAACACTGGAAAGAGGCTCAGAGGATCTGAGGACCCAGGAGTTGTGCAGAAGGAAGGCTGATGGGAGCAGGGAAGAGGGCAGCAGGTCCTGCTGAGCATCGCTCCCTGATGAGCACAGCTGTGGCACGACAGCAGCCACACCGACTAGCAGGGACTCGGCTTAGAGGAGCCCACTTATCTACTGACTCTTGAATCGCTGCCTTGAATCATTTCGATAGCTGTTAGACCCCAGCTGATCTGTTTCAAGCAAATTAAGTTCACCAGTGAGCAGGCCCAACCACCAACAAATGGGAAGGCTAAAGTGACACTTAGAATCAGAAGTACAAAAATGTCTAAAAAAAAAAAAAGGCAGATGTAACAGCACAGGTTCCAACTAAGTAAATAGAGCAGATGTTCTTTCCCCGTTGATCAGGGATCAGGAATCAAGGATGTAGCATTTGCAATCACTGAAAGAACATGTGAGGATCACGCATCTGCCAGAACGCCCAACGTGAACGTGTGGCAACACCACACGACAGACATTATTTACTCCCCGGCCCGCCGAAGCTCTGCCTTCCAAGCAAG